GTGTTTTGATCTCCAAGAGCAAGCCATTGGATCCTCGATTTTTGTATTAGTAGCTTCTCCTCCACTAAAGCAAGATGGTGCCAATGCTGTGAAGCTTCCTCTTCAGCTCGGAACGTGTTGGGATTTGGATCGGCGAGAGCTTGTTCTTGGCAGCGACATAAGTTCTCGAAAGCAGTCTTGGTGCGGGCATGGATATCACCATAATGGAACCTGTTCAATTTCCTTAAAGAAAAATTCAGCGACTCAAGCTTCTGGTGGAACTTACTAAGCGCTGTTCTGGAATGTATGAGAGCCGTTGTAGCCTCCCATTTACTTTGAACATTGTGAAGAAACTCCTTCTGCTCTACCAAGTAGTTAAAGAACTTGAAAGGCTTACGGTTTCCTCTGGACTACGGCTTAAGACAGACCACACATCTGGCGTGATCTGATATTTCACCTGTTTTAAACGAAGTGTATGATTGAGGATAGATACGAAGCCAGTCTCCATTGATTAAGGCACGGTCCAGCTTTTTCCCTATAGGATCTGCTTCTCTCTTATTCCACCAGGTGAATAAAGATCCTAAATAGGCAAGGTCAGTGAGAGCACAGTATAGTCTCCTGGAAGTGTAGCAATCATGTTTGATCTCCCAAGTAGTCAAATGCTCGCGAGTGCTCAGTAGAGGACAATGTGGCGTTGTAATCTCCTATTAGGATCCAAGGTAGAGCCAAGTGTTGGTAAGCCTGGTGAGTAGCTTTAATATCAGCCCATAAGTGTCTCCTATCAGAGATGAAATTTGCCGCATAAATAGCAGAGCAGATAAATTGGTCACCTACTTCTGATTGCACGGCACAAGTGATGACTTGGGAACTTTTGCGAAGCAGTGTTATGGTCACACCCGGACCCAAGCAGAACCAGATGCGGCCAAGACGATGACAGTCGTAATTCGTAATAGCATTCCAGCCAGGCAGCACAGTCTTTAAAATCTCCTAATATTTACTTTCTTGTACTCTTGTTTCGAGAAGGCAACCAAACAAAGGTTTCTCTTCACGAATCCACTTCCTAAGAACCAAGTGTTTGCGTGGCTTATTGAACCCACGCACGTTCCAAGCAAAAAACGATGTCATATCTTCCTAACGGAAGATTTCTTTTGTTGAACCTTCATGCACATTGCCTTCAGATCCTTTGATATGCCCAACTGATAACTCCTTTTAGCTTTCTTAGCTTGGGTTCCTCCTTTTTTTGTCAGCATTCTTAACCGGAAGTCTTATCTCACCCTCCTCTAAATTGTCAACTGCCTCTTCCACTTCTTCACTTTCATCATCAACTGAGAGAGGTTGGAAACGAGAAGGTGATATAGTGACCATATTATCCACAGAACTTGCTGAACCGTTAACCGGAGTTAGAGATGTTGTGTTCAAAGACTTATCAAAGTTTTCCATAGGAGAGGAAGATTTGAAAGTCTTTGAGGCAGATAGCCAATCAGAAGAGCCATTAGCTTCCACCTCCTTTTGTTTAATAACGTTTCCAGATCATTCAGCCTCTTGGTGGAGACTCTCTACACTATCCCTTTTAGCCTCACTCTCTACTTGCTTATCAACTTCATCCTCCTCAACACGAACATGAAGAGCTTCCAGTTCCTGCAGTAATCCATCCACCACATTTTGAGCATTAGCCGAATCAGTAGTGCCTTTGGTTTCCTCAACAACTGTCCTCTCGACAATCACCGTTTCCTTTCTCAGAATAACCACATCCTTGGACACACACTCCTGAGTTTTATGACCCCCTTGGATCACACACTGCATCTCGATAGGAGCCAAGGGTAAGTCACTTCCACCTTTGCTTAACTTCCATTACGATCAACAAATTTGATAACTTCAAACAACGGTTTGAGCAAGTTGACTTCGATGAGAACACGTGTGAAATCCAATCGCGAACACTTCTCTGTTTGCGGATGAAGTTTAGCAAAGTTTTCGACAGGTTTGGAAAGGGCTTTTAGTCCCACTAGAGAGAAGAGGTGACTGGGAACCGACTTCAAATCCACCCACAGGGGCATAGCAGAGAGGTCCAGGGGGGGGGGGTTGCAGCAGTCTCCGGCGACCATTTGTTGAGGACCAACGGAACATCCAATATGTGTTAGTAGCGCCTCTTGATCACCCGATTACCCAACGCCTCGTTCTCGATTCGAAACAAAACAGTGTCTTTTGCGATGAACTGAATGTCAATCTTCCCCTTGAAACTAGGTATGGTGCAGATTCTGTTCACTGTTGCGTGGATCGTGCCTACGTGAGGTGCATCACCAATGAAATACTCCTCTACGAAAGCTCTCCAGAGGGGGTCGAAATCTTCGAACGTCTCTGCAGGAAGCTTCAGTGAAGCAACACCATTCTCCACCACAAACACAGGGTCCGGCGCGGGTGCTTTCCAAGGGCTTTGCGAGGAGATTGGGGGATCGCTGTTTTTGTCGCCGTCACTCATTAGGGTTTTCCAATATCTTTTATTTTGACATATATATACTACTTGGACATGATTTTAGATTGGTCAACCTAAGAATTGGGATGTATATATGCAGCAATGTAGAAATACAGTTAATTTTTTGATATTATAGTCCAAAATCCTAGATTCATTAGTTGTTATTATGACAATCCAGGTCAATGTCATGTATTCTAAAACTTCAAAGTATTTTCTTAAACTTGCACCAGCATTCGAAATTTCGCATTGTGTAGAATCTTTCTGTAACTCCCCGACCGCCCACAACTAATGGGCCACCCACGCCCACTCACTCGGCCGGTGGGGCCCATCCTGTTCCAACGGTCGGTCCGTTAATTTTCCAAGGCTCTAGAGTCATGTTTACTGACCCTGCAATCACCACCCGATCTTTCCCCGTGCTTTGGCCTCATTTATAGGGTATCGCAAATCACTTCCCGATAAGTCACCCATCCTTTGATTACTCCAGCTCAACAACGCTTAGCTTTGGAGTTCTCTCTGGATGTGTTCCCGAAAAGGTAAGTGCACTTTGGTGACATAGGTAGCGAAATTAATTCTCTTAAGTCTTTCCATATACCACAAACCGGGATGTTACAATTCGCCTCCTCTCAAAGAACGCAATGATCTTGTTGCACCCCAAGATCGTTACCCATGTTAGTGTGAGCCCTCACTGACTCTACACTCGTCGGGGTTCGGCTCTGATACCACTTGTAACGCCCCGACCGTCCACAGCTAATGGGCCACCCACGTCCGCTCACTCGGCCCGTGGGCCTCATCCCGTTCCAACGGTCGGTCTGTTAATTTTCCAAGGCTCTAGAGTCATGTTTTCTGACCTTGCAATCACCACCTGATCTTTCCCCGTGCTTTGGCCTCACTTACACGGTATCGCAAATTACTGCCTGAAAGGTCACCCATCTTTTGATTACTCCAGCTCAAGCAAGCTTAACTTTGGAGTTCTCTCTGAATATTCTCACGAAAAAGTAAGTGCACTTTAGTGACATAGGTAGCGAAATCAATTCTCTTAAGTCTTTTCATATACCACAAACCGGGATATTACACTTTCTTTTAGATAAAATGAGTAATTACTTTCATAATGACAGAAGTTAAGAACAAGATTCTTGCTAGACAAATTAATATCGTCGATAATCAACCATCAAGGAAGCTAATAATGCGAAATACCTGCAGATTTCCGTATAAATTTTAATTAGGCTCAAACATCATATTGTAAACAACTGTATTTAAGTTTTATTCAGGGAATCAGAATCATGATGCATTATTGACTGACATAAATTATACGAAGTGGGTGTGTAAAGTGTAAACCATGCAAAGCATTTATATGTAGGGGTGGGCACGGATCGGATATCCGGGTTTTTAAGGTATTTGTGATTTGCTTCGAATGTTACGGATATCTAATTTTGATATTTGCTTTGCTTCGAAAAAATACGGATATCCGGAAAAACGGATATCCGGAAAATAAATAGATATTTGTGGATATTTACGAATATTTACGGATATCTCATCCATTTTAATTAGTACAAATAATCTTAAGATTTTGATACAAATTTGCTTTGTAAAAAAATTTTTTGCATGATATATAAAATAAAACTTAAAGAACTAGTGAATTTATAGATTTTCTAATTTTTTAAAGTTTAAGTTACAATTATAATAACACAAAATTTAAGAAAAAAATATAATTGTCAAAAATATTTTATCTCTTTTATGTAATACTTTTATATAATTAATAATTTGAATATAATTGTTCAAAATCATGTGCTAAATTAATAATTTTATAATTTTATACAATTAAAATTTTAAATATAATCAAAATATACATATATTTATATATTTACGGATCGGATCGGATATCCGCTTTCCAAAATTTTAATATTTGTGATTTGCTTCGATTTTAACGGATATTGAATTTTAGTATTTGCTTTGATTCGAAAGTTTACG